GTGGATTTATCTCTGGGCTTTCTATTCTGTTCCATTGATCTGTATTTCTGCCTTTGTGCCAGTACCATACTCCAGCTCAACTCCAGAAAAATAAATGACCGAATCAAAAAATGGGCCAAAGAACTAAACAGACATTTCTCCAAGGAAGACATACAGATGGCTAACAAACACATGAAAAGATGCTCAACATCACTCATCATCAGAGAAATGCAAATCAAAACCACAATGAGGTACCATTATACGCCAGTCAGGATGGCTGCTATCCAAAAGTCTACAAGCAATAAATGCTGGAAAGGGTGTGGAGAAAAGGGAACCCTCTTACACTGTTGATGGGAATGCAAACTAGTACAGCCACTATGGAAAACAGTGTGGAAATTTCTTAAAAAGCTGGAAATAGAACTGCCATATGACCCAACAATCCCACTTCTGGGCATACACACGGAGGAAACCAGATCTGAAAGAGACACGTGCACCCCAATGTTCATCGCAGCATTGTTTATCATAGCCAGGACATGGAAGCAACCTAGATGCCCATCAGCAGACGAATGGATGAGGAAGCTGTGGTACATATACACCATGGAATATTACTCAGCCATTAAAAAGAATTCACTTGAATCAGTTCTAATGAGATGGATGAAACTGGAGCCCATTATACAGAGTGAAGTAAGCCAGAAAGATAAAGACCATTACAATATACTAACACATATATATGGAATTTAGAAAGATGGTAACGATGACCCTATATGCAAAACAGAAAAAGAGACTCAGATGTACAGAACAGACTTGTGGACTCTGTGGGAAAAGGCGAGGGTGGGATGTTTCAAGAGAACAGCATCGAAACATGAGTATTATCTAGGGTGAAACAGATTAGCAGCCCAGCTTGGATGCATGAGACAAGTGCTCGGGCCTGGTACACTGGGAAGACCCAGAGGGATCGGGTAGAGAGGGAGGTGGGAGGGGGGACCGGGATGGGGAATACATGTAAATCCATGGCTAATTCATTTCAATGTATGACAAAAACCACTGCAATGTTGTAAAGTAATTAGCCTCCAACTAATAAAAATAAATGGAAAAAAAAAAAGAACTTCCCTGATAGTACAGTAGATAAGAATCCATTTGCCAATGCAGGGAACATGGGTTCAATTCCTGGTGAGGGAAGATTCCACATGCCACAGAGCAACTAATGTCCATGAACCACAACTACTGAGCCCGTGTGCCTAGAGCCCATGCTCCATAGCAAGAAGCCAATGCAATGAGAAGCCTTCACACTGTAACGAAGAGTAGCCTTCACTCGCCCCAAGTAGAGAAAGCCTACACTCAGTGACAATGGCCCAGCACAACTAAAAATAAATAATGAAAGTAACCAAAGATGGATTTTATTCTACCACTTCCCCCCCTTATCTATAATATGAGGATAATAACATTATTTATTTCATAGTGTTATTGGAGAAATTAAACAGTATAATATATATATATACAGCACTAGTTCAGTATGGGCTTATAATAAACAATCATATTATTATTGTTGTTGTTATCAGTTTTTATTTGAACACATATTTGTGGGGTTTTTTACACAATCTAAGAAAGCAATAGAGAAAAGAGACAAAATAACAAGTACCCATTGTGGGCTATATGAATTATTGTGCATGGTTTCATTCTAATCATCTCAACAGTGTATCAGGTAAGTTCTGTTGTTTCTATTTGGATGTGAGGTCCAGAATGCTATATTTAACTTACCATAAACTCATTCAGCTTGTAAGTGGCATATACAGGATTGGAAACCAAATCTGTATCCATTTTAAATAAATCACATGAATAATTCTTCTTGTTTGGAAATTAGTCATTTGGAGTGAAAGTAGAAGAAGGTTCCTATGTGTCCAAGTTGATTTAACAAGTATTCATTAATCCTTCACTCTAGTTGCTGAAAACTATAAAAAATACCTTAAACGATAGCTTGATCTCTGGTCTCCATTTCCTTAGAGTCTGGGGAATGAATATCATCCTTAAACTGCCACAGAGAGATCCTCTCCTTCCTGGTGAGGAGGGAGGTACTTACACAAAACCAAGCAAATGAAAACTGTCACTTGCACAACCAAAGCAGCCTGTCCACTAGCCAGAGGCAGACACTGATTGCTCAGCTGACATCTGTATCTCATATTAATCAGTGTCCCAACTTGGCCAGAGACACAAAGAAGCAGCAAATAATCTCAGCTTCTCTGTGGTTCTTCCATCTGTCTATCAGAAATACGTCAGCATGACTATTAATAAACTGATATGGGGGAAAAAGGGCCATCAACAAAAGAGCCAAAAACAATACCTGATACATGTTAGATGTGCTCAACATTTTTGTTCAAGGCAGTATTTTTATAATTTCATGCATGTTTGTCCTTAAAAATCATGTGTGCTGTTTGTTAACTATTGCCTCCCATTCCTTCGAGGGCTCCCAGGTGGCTCAGTAGTAAAAAAAATCCGCCTGCCAGTGCAGGAGACCCAGCTTTGATCCCTGGGTTAGTAAGATTCCCTGGAGAAGGAAATGGCAACCCACTCCTAAGAAATCCCATGGACAGACCTGGCTACAGTCCATGGGGTCACAAAGAGTTGGACTTAGCAACTAAACAAAAAAACAATCTTTCAACTCAAATGAGCAATTTCATCATGCTCTCTTGGGGCTCCTCAAGTATGTACACAACATCTTTGGTTAACAACAAACGACAATCAAGTAGAAAGTGATTTTTGCTTTGCTCAAAAATGGACCATTTATTAGAGTTCTCCCTCAGTTCATTTTTGACACTCTTGATTCCTGTACAGAGCTTCTCCCTTGAGCATTTCTTTATATCATCCCCTAAAACAGCCCTGAAGATCCCCTTCACCTACTTTTGTTAATATGAAGATTCTGTTAATTTCTAGGCATCCACGTACTTTTCTCCTCCTCCCTGGACTCTATGTTATCTGCTCTAACTTTTAGATGAGTAGTCTCCAGGCATATGTGATAGGACCTGTTAAGGTGTCACATATACAAATATGTGGTTGTGTGTGTATCTGTGTACAGAGAGGAAAAGAGGCAGACAGAGGGATAGACAGCTAGAAACAGAGACAGAGAGAAACAGAGAGACTGGTGTTATCACTAGGAACATGGCCAAATAGTTGCATTGTCACTGTAGAAAGTGAAGTGTCTTCCTGGAAGCTAGGATGCAACAATGAGGAAAGATTGAGGCAGTATCCTCATTTATTCACTAGCCATGGACTGAGACTTTTAAAGTTTGTGAATGTCCAATTAAGTGGGGTTTGTGCATCACACCATCTAATATACTGTACCTTAATTAGCCCTTATAAAATAGAAATAGTCCTAAGAAAGTTCCTTTAAGAAAACTGCTGTTTGACCCTAAAAGAATACTGCTAGAATAAGTCAACAAGAAAAAGTTGGAAATGGCACTTTTACTTCAGTGTATCTGAATATTTCTGTCAGGAACTGTAGAGACAACAATACTTACTACTGGCAGTGTGCTTGCTACCTGGCAAATATTAGAAAACTAACAATACAATCCACCTCTTTAAAGTAGACATATTAAATATAGTTACCCAGATAACTGATTTTTATTTTATTTTATTTTCTAAATAACTAATTGAAAAAAAAACAAACGTACTACGGATAGAACTTTTAAAATTGGATATTCTATGTGATTTTGTTGTTGAACTTAAGCTAAGTGAATAAAGCTTATTTACATACTTTAATAGTTTAGAAGTCAAGCACAAAACAAACTTGTAAACATGCTTTTCTAGCCAATGTAAAAATCTTCAAGATTGGATTTATTTGTTAAACATAAGAAAGTGCTATTTCTTCCTTTAAATTTACAGGAAAAATTTCTTGACCTCAATGATTCTTGCAGTCATGAAAGAATTTTCATTCTTTCATGTGTGATGCATAAATATACAGAGAGGTATTCTTAAAGTAATACCAAATCTGTGGCTGGAATGTGTGGAGGTGGAGACACAAAACAAAAATTTAATATTTACAAGTTGGCCCTTTAAGACAGAATCAGGGAGACAATGGGAAAGTGCTTTCAGATACCAAAATACTCTAGAGAACAGCCTTTAAAACACACTCATGTGTTCATTAAGATAATTGAAAGGGGACAGCACCAATGAAATGAAGTATGCAAGGGGTAAGGAATGATTAGACTGGAAGCCGGAGAAAAAAACAGGGCTAACAGAATGATTCACTGTCATGTTCTAAAGAGTGTGGCCTCTTGGGGTGATAGGAAATTGCCTAGTAAGCAAAGCATCACAGTCAGATGTATGACAATGAAAGACTACCCAAGCAGGAAAATGGTATACTGCATAGGAGGAGTTAGTAGTTTGGAAGCAGTCAGCAGAGTAAGAAGATACTTAAAGTATTACAAGGTGGTAGATACTGAGCTAGGTCCTAAAAAGAACAAAAGCAAGGAGGAAAGATATGAAGGGGAAAATGTAAAGACTTATGGAATATAAATAAAATAATTTGTGATTTGGCTGAGATGGGAGAAAGGTGTAGGGCTAGTGAAGTTATATAGAAGAATAATTTTATTTTTATGCCTCAAACTACTTTTTATTTGCAACTACATGATTTTATGCAATTCTTCTAAACAATGACATAAAATAGATTTCCATGTATATAAATAACTTACATACTTTCCATAAAGTAAATGCTCAAAGGTGCTAGAACAGATCATCCACTCCTACAGTATCCTCATAAGCAACAGAGCTGATGCACAATATATAAATACTCAAGTTTAATATTAAAAACTCAGGCACTTGACTAACTTGTATAAAGTTTCTCAAACTATATCAATATATCTAAAGTGCATATATATTTTTAAGAAAAGATTATTCTTAATAACTTCTCTATAAAAATAAGTGTGATGGTTTAGCCCATCTAACTTTACTACTTTAAGTATGAACTTTTAATACGTAGTCAGGCTTATTCTACCTTCTCTCAACATGACACCAACAGACAAAAGCAGCTAGTGAGGTGCTAACATGTGAGGATTAATCCAGTGATTGCGGTCACAATGCATTCCAGGAGGAGGTACCCATGTTACTGGAATTGGGCGATATGGTTTATTCTTCCGTCCCTGATTTGGATAACCAAATGGAATGGGAGGAGGGTAGTGACTTTGATTGCCATTCCCTCGATACATCATTGGCTTTTTTCTGGGCAATGGGTGCCACACTGGAAGAGGTGGGAATATCAATTCTGAAATCTGGTATACAGGGCTGGGGGTCGCAGCCACAGAATTCGGTTTCACTTCCACTTCCTTACATGTTTCTTCATCTGAAGAAGAGGATCCTGAATGATAATCAGAGGTAACCTTATCAAGGGCCCTGGTAACTTTCTTGGAAATCTCATCCTTGTTCTCATCCTCATTTTCAAAGCTGGCAACAATAAATGCATTATTTTTCTCTCCATACCTACAGCACACCTCACATGGGTCCACCCATAGAGTTAGTTCCTTTGGCAAGCCTAGGTCACTGTACAAGATGCAGCTGTTCTCACAGGCTTTCAGGACATCAGGATCAACTCTCTGAAACTTATTGACACGAATGCATCTGTAGGCTTGTCCTTTTGATGGTTTTTCCGGATACCAGTGATTTTTATATTTTTCTTGAAGTATTAGGGTCAATTTCTCAGCAAACCTCTCGACTGCTTCTTTTTTCAATTTATCATGTTTTCGAACTAGTCTTGTGAAAAAGAAGACTACAGCAGCAATTTCGTTCTTCATTTTCCCCGCCTTAGCGGACTGGCGCTTGGTGGTAATGAGCGCTGCAAGCCTCGTCAGGTTTGTGAGGCTCCCGCGTCGTCGGGCGGCCAAGTGCGCGCTGAGAGGGCGGGCTGCCTAGCGCGCCTAGAAGAATTATAATCACCTAGTTTAGACACCAGCACTTGGGATTTAGGAGTCAAGCATTGGTTTTAGTTATAATACACGAACAAGCTCTCAGAGATCACAGGTCATCCAATGTCTTCTCTCAGAATTATCTTCACCAATTTCTAAATAGTGATGGTAACATCTACTATCCTATTTCTAATTCCTCAAGTATGATGATCATTAATGATACAAAAACAATGGTGCTAGGCAAGACAAAGTATAGAAAAAGCTTGCTTATACAGAAAACTAAACAAATATGTCCAAATTGTAGAACTGTTCTAAAATTTTCAAATGATCATGCTCATTTAAAAGCACCTGATGAAAAATACTGAAGAAAAATTTGCTGTAATTACGAAGCTCTTGGTGATGGTGACACAAGCCAGGCTGTAAATGACCAGTTGCTGATATTCCAACAGTCCATCTGTGCACATGCGCTGGGCAAATCATTGTGACTGAGCATAGAAAATTACTCTGTCAGAGTCTAGGTTGTGCTGGGAATACCATAACTTTATGGAATAAAGATTGCTTGGTATAGAGTAGGAAATGCTCAATGTGTACACGCTGGTAGACATAGTTAGACATAATGAGAACAAGCAGAAGACAGTAAGAAATGTCTTCAGAAGAGCTGCTGTATCATTTTAACCTTCAGGTTTTCCAGTAGTGCAAAAACCCACATGCCTAGTTGAAACTCAACTTGGGTTTCTGGCAAATAACTTCCTACCAAATTATACTGACAAACTTTTGGAATTTTAAAAAGGTAATGCATTGAAAAATCTGATTTTCAGTGTGAGAATTATTAGGAAAATGTATGTTCTGTGTTCCAGTTCAGTTCAGTAGCTCAGTCATGTCCAACTCTTAGCAACCCCATAGATTGCAGCACACCAGTCTTCCCTGTTCATCAATTCCCAGAGCTTGCTCAAACTCATGTCCCTCGAGTGTGTGATGCCATCCAACCATCCCTTCCTCTGTCATCCCCGTCCCCTCCTGCCTTCAATCTCTCCCAGCATCAGGATCATTTTCCATGAATCAGTTCTTCGCATCAGGTGGTCAAAGTACTGGACCTTCAGTTTCAGTCCTTCCAATGAATATTCAGGACTGATTTATTTTAGGATGGACTGATTGGATCTCCTTGCAGTCCAAGAGACTCTCAAGATTCTTCCCCAACACCACAGTTCAAAAGCATCAATTCTTCAGCACACAGCTTTCTTTATGGTCCTACTCTCACATCCATACATGACTACTGGAAAAACCAAAGTTCTGACTAGATGGACCTTTGTTGGCAAAGTAATGTCTCTGCTTTTTAAGGTGTTGTCTAGTTTGGTCATAGCTTTTATTCCAAGGAGCAAATGTCTTTTAATTTCATGGCTGCAGTCATTGTCTGCAGTGATTTGGGAGCCCAAAAAAATAAAGTCTGTCACTGTTTCCACTGTTTTCCCATCTATTTGCCATGAAGTGATGGGATCAGATGCCATGATCTTCGTTTTCTGAACGTTGAGCTTTAGCCAACTTTTTCACTCTCCTCTTTCGCTTTCATCAAGAGGCTCTTGAGTTCTTTACTTTCTGCCATAAGGGTGGTGTCATCTGCATATCTAGGTTATTGATATTTCTCCCTGCAATCTTGACTCCAGCTTGTGCTTCATCCAGCCCAGCATTTCTCATGATGTACTCTGCACAGAAGTTAGATAAGCAGGGTGACAATATAACAGCCTTGACATATTCCTTTCCTGATTTGGAACGAGTCTGTTGTTCCATGTCCAGTTCTAACTGATGCTTCTTGACCTGCATAAGATTTCTCAAGATGCAGGTCAAGTGGTCTGGTATTCCCATCTCTTGAAGAATTTTCAGAGTTTGTTGTGATCCACACAAAGGCTTTGGTGGAGTCAATAAAGTAGAACTAGATGTTTTTTTGTTGGTGGCTTAGATGGTAAAGCATCTGCCTGCAATGTGGGAGACCCAGGTTTGATACCTGCGTCAGGAAGATCCCCTAGAGAAGAAAATGGCAACCCAATCTAGGACTCTTATCTGGAAAAGTCCATGGATGGAGGAGCCTGGTGGGCTACAGTCCGTGGGGTCGAAAAGAGTGTGACACAACTGAGCAACTTCAGTTCACTCTTGCTTTTTCAATGATCCAACGGATTTTGGCAATTTGATGTCTGGTTTATCTGCCTTTTTTAAAACCAGCTTGAACATCTAGAAGTTCATGATTCATGTACTTTTGGAGCCTGGCTTGGAGAATTTTGAGCATTACTTTACTAGCCTGTGAGATAAGTGCAATTGTGCAGTAGTTTGAGCATTCTTTGGCATTGCCTTTCTTTGGGATTGGAATGAAAACTGACCTTTTCCAGTCCTGTGGACACTGCTAAGTTTTCCAAATTTGCTGGCGTATTGACTGCAGCACTTTCACAGTATCATCTTTTAGGATTTGAAAGAGCTCAACTGGAATTCCATCACCTCCACTAGCTTTGCTCGTGGTGATGCTTCCTAAGGCCCACTTGTCTTCACATTCCAGGATGTCTGGCTTTAGGTGAGTGATCACACCATCGTGATTAACTGGATCATGAACATCTTTTTTGTATAGTTCTTCTGCGTATTCTTGCCACCTCTTCTTAATATCTTCTGCTTCTGTTAGGTTCATACCATTTCTGTCCTTTATTGTGCCCATTTTTGCCAAGAGAATGCACTGGTCATGGCAAATACCATCTTCCAACAAAAGAGAAGACTCTACACATGGACATCACCAGATGGTCAATATCAAAATCAGATTGATTATATTTTTTGCAGCCAAAGATGGAGAAGTGCTATACAGTCAGCAAAAACAAGACCAGGAGCTGACTGTGACTCAGATCATGAACTCCTTATTGCCAAATTCAGACTTAAATTGAAGAAAGTAAGGAAATCACTAGACCATTCAGGTATGACCTAAATCAAATCCCTTACGATTATACAGTGGAAGTGACAAATAGATTCAAGGGATTAGATCTGATAGACAGAGTGCCTGAAGAACTATGGACAAGGGTTCATGACATTGTATAGGAGGTAGTGATTAAGGCCATCCCCAAGGAAAAAAAAATGCAAAAAAGAAAAATGGTTGTCTGAGGAGGCCTTACAAACAAGTAAGAAAAGAAGAGAAGCAAAAGGCAAAGGAGAAAAGGAAACATATATCCTTTTGAATGCAGAGTTCCAAAGAGTAGCAAGGAGAGATAAGAAAGCTTTCCTCAGTGATCAATGCAAAGAAAGAGAGGAAAAGAATAGAATAGGAAAGACTAGAGATCTCTTCAGGAAAATTACAGATACCAAGGGAACTTTTCATGCAAAGATGGGCACAATAAAGGAAAGACTCTTAGGGGAGGTGATAATTCAGTTAGATCTTAGAAAGAAAAGAGGAGACAGAAAACAGGCAGATAGAAAACAACATGTAAAACCAGCTTGAGTTGGCCACACTGAAAGCTTTATTTCAGTACCTAGCGTGAGCAGTGATTCAGAAAAGCAAGGAAAAGCCAAATTATCACATGAGGATGGACACAACACGCAAAGCAGGAAAGAGACACTCCAGTTCAACTGGCACAGGTCTTGTGAGTAGAAGAACTTGAGTTTGCTCCTCCTGGAAAAGAGGAATGATTGAATGTTTTAAGCAGAAACAAAGTAATCATAAAGGTCATTTTGATTCAATAAATAATATAGAGGAACAGATATTGGTGATATAGGATCTCAGGAGAAGGCTATTAATATAATCAAAGAGAGAGGTATACCTTTAGGTACTTTATGACTCTGTATATTGTATATTTGTGCTGTGAGGAAGAGATCATCTACCATTTTCACAAAAGAAAAGAGCAATGGAAAATTGAACTAAATCATTTGTGGTCAGCAAGCAATTAGAGGCCACTCTAAAATCTGCCCCTAAACCCTGCCATTTCTTTCGAACATCTCTGACTTCCTTTTTCTTCTTAGCAGAAAGCAAAAATCTAAGAGATAAACAATATTTATTGGACAATTATTCCTCAAAAAGCTGACTATTATTATTTTTGAAATATTTATTCCACTTTCTCATGCATCTTATGCTTTCAATAATTTTAAAAAATCAACAACTATTAACCTTATATTGCAGATTAAAAATATGCAAGTGTATGTAACAATAAGATTAATTTTAATTTCTACTTTGTTAGTTTATAAACAGTATTCCAAACTGAGATGTTCACAGGGCAGCAAGGCAAAAGTTATTTTCTTCATAAATAAAACTTCTAAGGAAATCATAAAAGTGCCTCTCAAACCTCAGAGAGTCCAAACTCAACACTATGTGTTGTGGGAGACAGAACCTAATAGAAGAAATTTTAGAAATACTAGTGAAATTCCAGAAATAAGTATGTAATTCTAGGAAAATCTGTATTTTTTCAGGTCTAGATCTACAGAGCCATCAAAATTGTTTTCAAGGCACCTTAATGCTCTGACTCCAGTAAAAGACATAAATAAGTTTGAATATCAATTCTGCCCTTACCAATGGGACTTTGAGAAAACTATTTAGCATGACTTCCCTCTTTTATGCCTCTCAGGTGGCCCAGTAGGTAAAGAATCTGCCTGCAATGCGGGAGACCCAGGTTCAATGCCTGGGTCAGGAAGATCCCATGGAGAAGGAAATGGCAATCTACTCCAGTATTCTTGCCTAGAGAATTCCATGGACAAAGGAGCCTGGTTGGCTATAGCCCATGGGGTCAAAAAGAGATGGATACCACAGAGTGACTATACTTTCACTTTCACTTTTTCTTTCCCTCTTTTATGAATCAATGGCAGCACTTAACTTCATCAAAAGGCTGTTTTGAGGGGTAAATAATTTTTACCCCTGGACACTGGTCCAATAGGAG